GTAGGAAGCTCTCTCTGGCCTTCTGCCAGCAGCTGGTGCGCAGCATGGCCCACTTCCAGAGCCAGGGCAGCCAGGAGCCCGAGCTGCGCCTCTATGTGTCTCAGGTCACCCAAGTCAGTAGTCTCCTGCGCAGCATTTGGAAGGCCGAGCCCGACACCTTGTTGCCCTCCCTGCAGGAGCTTTTCGCGGTCATCTCCTCCACAGGTGAGAACTGGACGGTGGGAGAGGATTGCGTGGTGGGCATGTGACAAAACTGCAACGAGTATTTTCAAAAAGCCCTGACACAATCTACTTGCCCAGTGCTGACATCACAGGGAGGCTGGGGTTTGCTAGCTGCTGCTATGACAGATGGTAATAAAGGACCCTTTTATTAAAGTGAAGAGATTGCCCATAGAAAGTGGCCTGCGTCAGATAATGGAGTCTACCAGGCTTGGGGGGATTGTGGTGGGGGAGCTCTTGTATGAGGTGACTAGCAGAATGAATGTGTAGAAACAATGATGTTCTGGTGCTTGCAATTTGGCCACTGAGGCTGAGTTAATGCTCACCCTCTTGTATCCAGGTTAACTTTTTACAAATAGAAGGTGTTATGCTCTTTCTTTGCCCAGAATTTAGAAGGATGAACGTGTGGTATGAAAAAAGTGTTTACTTTTAGGCTCTTGTATGAGGTGACTAGCAGAATGAATGTGTAGAAACAATGATGTTCTGGTGCTTGCAATTTGGCCACTGAGGCTGAGTTAATGCTCACCCTCTTGTATCCAGGTTAACTTTTTACAAATAGAAGGTGTTATGCTCTTTCTTTGCCCAGAATTTAGAAGGATGAACGTGTGGTATGAAAAAAGTGTTTACTTTTAGAAATGTAATATTCCTATTGTTAATATGGCTTGGTGTATTGTGTGTTCTTATACACTATGTGTAAAAGTTAATAATTGTCAACTTTTTTTGGCCAACTGACTTGACTTTTTTAACAATTAGTTACTTCTTAGTTTAGGAGGGAAAGTGTTTAATCCTCTTTTCTTGTTCAAGATATGTCTTCAAACCCTGTTCATATGAAGGTTTCTGATAGCTAAGGCTGTAAAACTTCAAAATATTGCACGACTGCTAATTAGAAAGTTTGACACACACAAATATTGTATATTCATACATAAACCCATGTATTATTGGGTGAAGTTCAATGACTTATGGTGTTAAGGAGCTCAGACTAGATGATTATAATGGTCTCCTTTGGCCTTAAAATCTATAAATGCAGTACTTTTAAAAATGAGTCTGTATATGTGCTCACATGTAGAGGTTGTGTTTGCAGTTGAAAGGGCTAGAATCTTGATATTTTAAGTCTAGCTCTTGCAGAAACTGGTGTGGCCTAAGAATGTTAAATATCGAGTAACTTACTAGTCAAGTAGTTGATGGAATTTTGATCAAAATTTACTAGTCAATAGACACTTCCGCATTCCCCCTTTGAAATTTCAAAGGGGGAATGCAGAACTCCTCATGCAGCCGGGGGCCAGCGGGAAGTCACGCTGACTAAGCTGCACACAGGTGCCACCTTTGAAGCCTGTGGTCAGCAGGTGACTTTCAAAGGAGGAAGGCAGAACTCCTCATGCAGCCGGGGGCCAGCGGGAAGGCGCTGACTCTGAGCTGCACACGGGTGCCACCTTTGAAGCCTGTGGTCAGCAGGTGACTTAGAGCCCCCCGCTGACCCCGGCCTCCATGCTGTGCTGCCACTTTGAAATGTCATGCGGACCCCAGGTCAACTGGGGACTCACCAGCTGACCCTGGGCTCCACACAAATGCTGCGGTGCCATTTCAAAGGGGCAGCGCCACTCCACTGATCTCTGGCTCAGCAGTGTGCCTCCGCCACCCCTTTGAAACGCTGCGGCAATTGTGGAGCCCAGGTACAGGCTCCGTGTGGCACTTCCACTTTGAAGTATCCCTTTCCCCTGCCCTCCACTTTTTCTGCCTCTATCTGATAGAGGCAGCAAGGGGGAGAGGAATCGACTAGTCCTTAACATTGTTCGTGTGGCCATCCAAGAATTGCTGATATAACATATTTGTGCTAAACCTGATTCAATTATTAACACTTGATGCAACATCCTCATTTAAACTACTTCTGTGGCTTATTCTTGGACTAAAGAGCACAATTTGTCTTAGCCTGTCAAAATAAAATAGGCCTATGATGTGTTGAGCAGCATGACACTTTCCTTCACATCTGTCAGGCAAATGAATAAATAGTCTCACAGGTTCAATGTGTTCTCCACTCAAATGTTAGTCTCAGTTTGATTTTTATCATTGTATATGCTAAGGTAATTTTGTCCTCATGCAGGATATGGCAGCAATTTAACACTTTACTGCAGCAGTTAGAAGGGTAGGCTAGGAGTAAAACATAGCTGTTTCTGTTTTTTACAAGATGTCCTGTTCAACTGTTATAGATACTTCATTTGAGCCTTCTGTTGCACTGGCAAGCCTTGTGCAGCATATCCCATTACAGATGATTACAGTACTCATCAGGAGCCTTACCACAGATCCAAATGTAAAAGATGCAAGTATGACTCAAGCTCTCTGCAGGTACTGTTTCTCATAGAAAAAGAGATGCGCTTTTTTTTTTCTAATTCATACCTTTTGTAAAGTTATTTGCCACTTGAATTCCATAAAAATGTATTGAGAATCTAAATATTAAATTGCACTATCTGAAACTTTACATGAATTTTGTATTTCTAATGCCCCAGAAATATCATCAGTGAACTCTTTTTGCCTTATTTGTTAACGTGACCTGATCATACTTTGGCATGGCAAGAAGCGGGTAAATGCCTGTCGGAAATGGAGATGAAGCTTTCTGTGGCCCTTTTAGATTTGGGGAAATACGATAAATCTGGAAATCTTCCAGGGCATAGGTCTCATGTTGAGTGAAACAGCCTCCTTCACAAGTAACATATTGGGGTTGTTCAATGGATTGTTTCCTTTTTCCCATTCCCATCTGTGTCCTGTCCTCTTTTGAGGAGGGCAGACAATTTGGAGGACAAGTTACACTTTGAAAGCCTGTTGAAAATTCATAAAGGATTTCAAGTGGACTGTTCATGGTTTCATCTTCAAATACTATGCAGCTCTACTTGATTGAATATTGTCAGAAGGAAGGACGTCATGTGTCAGTTGGCCCACAGGTTTCTTGTCACCAGTTTAAGCATTGAGAGGGAGGGGTCCTGAGAGGACTATAAATGTTAACATGCCATGTTACTGCATTTCAGGCTTTGTTAAAGTTACAGATATGTAAATGATAGTTATCTAGAAAACTGCCAGAACTAGAGAAGGGCTTCTGTTGTAAGAAAATAGTCCTCTGAAAGTGTTCTTTCACGGGCTCTAACCTGGCAGCTCTTGTTGAAGGTGAGTAGAACACTAAAATCCTTCTTATCTTAACTGTGAAAGAGAGCTAATGTGAAGTGCTGGGTGTTTTTTTCCTGTGTGGATGGGGGGGGCGGGGGGAAACCCTGGCATTTGATACTACTTTTCATTTTAATTATTCTCAGTTATCCTGCTTTGGCTGTCTCTTCAACCATAAATTTGGTTTTAAGTCTTCTGGCTTCACAGATCAGGCATAGAACTGGTTCGAAGGATTTCTCCTGTGAAGCAGGTTTATAAATGGGGCAAAGAAATCCTCTCATCTTGGTAACAAGACAAGATCCTTGTGTCTTTTACCAGATCCTAAGATCTGTTGCGGGGCTGCTGAAGTTCACTTACGTTGGTCAGAGGAAGCATAATATTAATTGTCATTATTTCTGACACCAGACCATGCCTATCCTGGCTTCTGTCTGGGTGGGTGAGGGTGGAAACCTTAACAATAGTCTAAAATTAGTCCTAACATCTGTCTTCATCTACCAGGCCTCAGTTTTGACATTTGCCTGGGAGCCTAGGGTAAGCCTGCACTGCCTACTTTAAAGGAGGCTTTTGTTTTTAGCGTGGAGGAAGCCTGTCACAAAAATATGACTATAGAGAGATGGTTCTGAAACATTTACTGATGAGCAAAATCATTAATGTGGTAATGCAGATGGAGTTCTTGTGGGTTTTTTTTTTTTTTTTTTCAAGAAGATTCAAGCCTGGTCTACACTAGAAAACTAGTTTGGTATATCTCCATCATTAAGATGTGTTAAAAATCCACCTCAAGTGGTGTAATTAAGTTAATCTAAGCTCTAGCATAGATAGCACAGACGAGTTTTTTTTTTTTGCTGCTGTAGCATTTCAAGACTACACAAGATCCTTACAGCAGCAATGGGCAATCTAGAAAGTAATGAGAGGGTCAGAAAAGTGGTCTGTCTTCATCTGTGGGCCACAAGATTGTGGTAACCAAGATTTGCTCACTGCACTTGTGTACCTAGAATTTGTAGGGTGTGCTGACTGAACCATAGCAGTACTCTGAATGCAGAGGAAGTGCCTATTTCTCACAGTAATGTTGTGGGCAAGTGGCATGCACCTCACTTTACGTGTCGTTGCTTTACGTGCATGTCACTTCAGTAATAGCAGTAGGAAAAAACTATATGGACATAAACCAGCAGAATCTGTCAACCCTGCAGATGGGCAGCAGTAAACAAAATGTCTCATGAGCCACAAGTAGAACCTCTCAGGCCACAGGTTGCCCATCACTGCCTTAAGAGTGCTGCATAGTATAGTGTGTAAATAGTAAGTTGGACACCATACAAATAGATACCAAGGTTAGGTTTCTCCTCACTGCAAACTGGGAGAGTTGAAACTCAGGTTTCAGGCTCTGTTATTTCTGTTCCCCACAGATTGCAAGCCCTCCAGGTAAAAAGTCAAAAGATGGGCAATACATGCTTAAACAATCCTCTTTATTTGTAGTGCCTACATTTTACCTTTTTCGGTGCATAATTCAAAATGATCTGGACAAACTGGAGAAATGGTCTGAGGTAAATCGAATGATGTTTAATAAGGACATATACAATCTGTTTCATATATACAGAATGGGGAGCGACTGTTTAGGAACGAGTTCTGCAGAAAGATATCTAGGGGTCATAGTGGATGACAAGTTAAACATGACGCTATTGCCAAAAAAAAAGCAAATATGATTCATTAACAGGAGTGCTGTGAGCAAGACATGAGAAGTCGTCATTCTACTCTACTCTGCATTGATCAGGACTATATTGGAGTACTGTTTCCAGTTCCGGGCACCACATTTCAAGAAAGATGTAGAGAAATTGGAGAAGGTCCAAAAAAGAGTGACAAGAATGATTAAAGGTCTAGAGAACTTGACCTGTGAAGGAAGACTAAAAGAATTGGGCTTGTTTAGTTTGGAAAGGAAAAGATTGAGAGGGGACATAATAGCAGTTTTCAGGTACCTAAAAGGGTGTCACAAGGAGGAAGGAGAAAAATTGTTCTCCTTGGACTCTGAGGATAGGACAAGAAGCAATGGGCTAAAACTGCAGCAGGGCAGGTTTAGGCTGGAAATTAGGAAGAACTTCCTAACTGTCAGGGTTGTCAAACATTGGAATAAATTGCCTAGGGAGGCTGTGGTCAAACGTTGGAATAAATTGCCTAGGGAGGTTGTGGAATCTCCATCTGTGGAGATATTTAAGAGTAGGTTAGATAAATGTCTATCAGGGATGGTCTAGACAGTATTTAGCAGGTTAAATGGTGGTAGGTCCTGCTGTGAGGGCAGCGGACTGGACTTTATGACCTCTCGAGATCCCTTTCAGTTCTGGTGTTCTATGATTCTATGTCTATAAACTTTAAAAATGGCAGACTGTAGATCAGGGGTGAGGGACTTTTTTGGGTTGGGGCCACGGACTTGCATTAAAATCAGTCGGAGGCTGCACAAGACTAGACAAGCCCTTAAGAGCAGCAATGGGCAACCTAGAGAGTAGTGAGTGGGTCGGAAAAGTGGTCTTACTTCATCTCAGTGGGCCATTAGATTGTGGTAACCAAGATTTTATCCCCACCCCTTACCAGCATGGGCTCCCCAGTTCTGGGGGAGCCCTGAGCATCAGGGGCCAGATGTAGGCAAGCCACAGGCTGCATCTGGCCCTTCAGCCTTCTGTTCTCCACCCTGCTGTAGGTGCTTCAGTCAGTTTTTCAGGTGTGAAGGTATGTGAATTAACTCCTGATGGATTGGATGCTGAACTTCAGTCAGATTTGACTCTTTCAGCTTACTGTGTAAACCTGTAGAAATGGCTTATAAATTAAATTTTAGGTGTTAGGTAAGGTCTGTTAAAATTTGAAGTTCATTTTTAGTTCTGTAATTAGTGCAGTATCTAGTTTTGAGTTCACATTACAGTTGATGTACTATAAAATCAGAATTGTAGGCCTGGAAGGGACTTAAAGGAGTCAGCACTCCAGTCCCTTGCACTCATGCCAGGACTAAGTATTATCTAAAGTCCAGACCATTTGCTGATGGGTGTGTATTATTGATATACTATAAAATCAGAATTGTAGACCTGGAAGGGACTTAAAGGAGTCAGCTACTCCAGTCCCTTGCACTCATGCCAGGACTAAGTATTATCTAAAGTCCAGACCATTTGCTGAAGGGTGTGCATTTGATGCTCTATTGGAAAAAAAAGTACTACTTTGCTAGGTGTACTGTTTTTGAAGATAGCGATAATTATTCCTAAATTATTGCTTTAGTGCATGACACTATGTTCTTGTGTACTAACAACTCTGCAGTGTTTGGTTTGCAAACTGTGAAAAGATTTGCAAATATTCAAATTACACATTGAATCAGATACCTATTTCTTTGTTAATACTTGAAAGCTCATAGTATAAATAACAGGGCTAGCATAAAACCTCAACCCCTGTGCAGCACCCTATGTAGAAGGGTTCTGTCTAGTTTGGATGGTGCCAAATGTAGACCTTAATACAGAGAGAGCCTATGCAGTTAACCTGTTCCCTGACAGTGAATGATCACAACAGCAGAATTAGTTTTCATTAGCGGTCAAATCCTCATTACATGGAGTAGTCCCCCCATCTAAGAAAGTTAGGAGAAAAGTGAGGAAATGTATCTTAACATTTCCCTAGTCTTTTCCCACATGTTGCAGCAACCTTCCATCTGACCAGCTGGAGGAGTGATCAGAACAGTATAAAAGCATTTTTTTTTCTAGTGAACATATGACAGACCTGAATTTTATTCTTTCAGGAAGCAGTAGAGCATTGTAATGATCCTAGAACACAGTTCTAATCAATGTAGCTGTCTTGACTATATTTTCAGGGGAAATTTAAGGATACAAAACAATCTTCTCTACAGTCATTTTAGAGAAGATGTTGATTTAAAAACATGTACATTACTTGCCTTTCTTATACACTGTTATTAATCTTTGTCATACCATCTGGATCCATACTGCTAAATTCCTTAGCATATCTTCTCTCCACCATACATGTAACTGCAAGTGAGAAGACCTATTATAACATAGGCAGCATATGGCTAACGTAAGGCTGCAAAAAACACTGTCTTGATGACACTTTCTGTAGTAGGAGTATGCAGCCATCCTCAATTTTCCTGTTTTTTGCTAACTTTGAGGAAGTTGGGTTTTTTATATTTCAGAAGCACATACAATCACAAGGACTACATATTTATTTAGCATCTTAATTTTTATATTTCAGAAACACATACGGTCACAAGGACTACATATTTATTTAGCATCTTAATTCAACATGGGTACCATTCAGGCATGGTTTTTAGTTACATCTACCCTTATGGCAATGTGTCGAGTTCAGACACTGCTCACCCAGCTAGCACAGGTATAAATCAGTGTAGCCACTAAGGCACAGCTTTGGTGTGTGAAGTGTCCTACACATCAAAACTCCATAGACTCGCCGCATACTCAAGCTGTGCTTCACATGTCTACACTCCCATTTTTAGCAGTGTAAAATCCTCCTTCACTGCAGCATGTTGCTATATGTTGCAGTAGGAAACAGTCTGTGTTACTACAGGCACTATAGCAGGTAGTTACATGTATAGTGGCTGAACTCTGTATACCACTGTCAGTGTAGACATTAGCCTTGGATACAAGTTGGAAAAGAGTACAATCAGAGACTGCTAGAACTGGAAGGGACCTCAAGAGGTCATGGAGTCCAGTCCCCTGCCCTCGAGGCAGGACCAAGTACTGTCTAGATGAGAGTTTTTTCAACCTTTTTTTATAAAGTACCCCTTCTTCCCTCTCCCCCCCAAACAAGTACCCCAAGTACCTACAGTTTTCAGACACACAGTTTTTTTTCTACCATTGCAACACATTTGTTTAAACTACTTAATCGTAGCCGGGCGGGCAATGACTTTTTTGGGTGTAAAAAGTACAAATAATAAAGCACTGTAAAACTTAAAACAAATTCCGTTTTCTCCAAATTTCAGTTGTGCTGACGTATTCCCCCGGACTTCTCTCAAGTACCCTTAAGGGTACTCATATCACTGGTTGAGATATACTGGTCTAGGTCATCCCTGATAAATGTCTATCCAACCTACTCTTAAATATCTCCAGTGAGCGAGATTCCACTACCTCCCTGGCCAATTTATTCCAGAGCCTAATTACTGTGACAGGTTGGACATTAAGAAAAACTTCCTAAATCTCCTTTGCTGCAATTTAAGCCCATTGCTTCTTGTCCTATCATCAGAGGCCAAGGAGAACATTTTTTCTTCCTCCTCCGTGTAACACCTTTTTAGATCCTTGAAAACTGCTATCATGTTGCCTCTCAGTCTTCTCTTTTCTAAACTAAACAAGCCCAATTCTTTCAGTCTTCCCTCATAGGTCATGTTTTCTGGACCTTTAATCGTTTTTGTTGCTCTTCTCTGGACTTTCTCCACATCTTTCTTGAAATGTGCCCAGAACTGAACACAATACTCCAGCTGAGGCTTAATCAGCACATAGTAGAACACAATACTCCAGCTGAGGCTTAATCAGCACAGAGTAGAGCAGAAGAATGACTTCATGTCTTGCTCACAACACGCTTGTTAATGCATCCCAGAATCACCTTTGCGCTTTTTGCAACAGGATCACACTGGCTCATATTTAGCTTGTGGTCCACTGTGATCCCTTTCAGCAATACTTCTTCAACAATCACTTCCCATTCTATATGTGGGAAACTGATTGTTCCAGCCTAAGTGGAGTACTTTGCATTTGTCCTTATGTAAATAGGATGAGTTTAATAAGAGCATAAGAACGGCCGTACTGGGTCAGACCAAAGGTCCATCTAGCCCAATAGCCTGTCTGCCGACAGTGGCCAGCACCAGGTTCCTGCTATCCCTCTCCAGCCTCTGACAGACAGAGGCCAAGGACACCATTTTATCCCCTGGCTAATAGCCTTTTATGGACCTAACCTCCATGAAATTATCTAGCTTCTCTTTAAACTCTATTATAGTCCTAGCCTTCACAGCCTCCTCTGGCAAGGAGTTCCACAGGTTGACTACACGCTGTGTGAAGAAGAACTTTCTTTTATTAGTTTTAAACCTGCTACCCATTAATTTCATTTGGTGTCCTCTAGTTCTTCTATTTAGGGAACTAATAAATAACTTTTCTTTATCGGCCCTCTCCACACCACTCATGATTTTATATCCCTCTATCATATCCCCCCTCAGTCTCTAGTTACCATTTCTCTATTTTGTCTACATTGAATTCTGACCCTGTCCTCCAGAGCACTTGCAATCTCTCCCATCTTGGTATCACTGCAAATTTAATGATTGTGCTCTCTCTGCCATGATTTAAATGGTTGATGAAGATATTGAACAGAACCGGTCCCAAAACAGACCCTTGCAGAACCCCAGTTGTTATACCCTTCCAGCATGATTGTGAGTAGTTAAACTTTCTCAGAGTAGGTTTTACCTAGCCAGTTATGCATCCATCTTATAATAACCCCATCTAGGTTGTATTTCCCTAGTTTATTAATAAGGTCATGTGATACCGCGTCATATGCCAATTTGCTTTCTCTTTAATTGTAGGCTTCAACCACAAATTGACTGAATCAGTATATGAATAGGAATATTTTTACAAAAACTGTTCATAATTAGATTAAATTTTGCAATTTGGTGTGCATATTTTAACTACATAAGGGCCATATGCATAGTTAAACAGGGACTGGTATATCAATTGACATGTCTTTTTAACCCCTCCACACAAACTTGCTTCATTTAGAACAATGTGTGATTAACTATTTATTATAAATATATGTAGAGTCCTTGAAATCAGAGTTTAATGTGTATTTGTCCTTTTTGCTTCATCTTTCAGAATGATAGATTGGCTGTCTTGGCCTCTGGCTCAGCATGTGGAAACATGGGTGATTGCTTTGCTGAAAGGTCTAGCTGCAGTCCAGAAATTCACTATTCTCATCGATGTTACTCTACTTAAGATAGAACTGGTATGTGGGTTGAGAACATTGTGAGGAGGATTTAATTTCTGTGCAGCTTCAGAGCATCCTTTTTTGCCACAATGTTATTGCTTTATACCCAGTGTAGAAGAATATAAATGTTTCTTGTAGAGTTTGGTTGTAGCATAGCAAATCTGTATTTATTCAAAATATTCTTTGTAAACCTATAAGTTACTTCTGTTCTGCGGTAAGAGTTGGGTGGGTTTTTTGTTTTGTTTTTGTTAAATGTCTGATTTGTTTTATTTAAGGTTTTTAATCGACTTTGGTTTCCTCTTGTGAGGCCTGGAGCTCTGGCTGTTCTTTCTCATATGCTGCTTAGTTTTCAGCATTCTCCAGAAGCTTTTCACTTGGTAAGTTACTAAATTGTGTGAGTCTTCAGCTGTTGTGTTAAAGTGGACCACCTGTAATATTTGTAGTGGGGTTCTTTGTGAAAATGACAAGTAGAGTTTCATGTTTCATCTGTGATCCTTTTAAGGTTTGTACTGGCAGGTGTGTAAAGAATATGCAGGCCAAACTTTGTTCTCAGTTATTCCTTTGTCACATTTTTAAGTGGTGTGACTGAAACGTTGGGCAGAATTTGAGCTCCAATGATTCGTAAACAGTGATGTTGAAGGAAGTAAAAGGGTCCAGAGTTTACTTCCAGTTGTATCATCCCTGGCTCCCCATGGATGGGGAGCACCAGGCAAAAGAAGAAGGTAAAACCTCCCATTACTAAAATGATTAAAATATGGGATACATATGGGTGGGGGGGACTAAATAACAATGACCATGTAAAAATAGTACCCTTAATGAGTGAGCTGCATTTTGAACATCATAGATACAAAATTCTATCATTCAAAAAGTAACCTTTTAAAAAAAAAAGCCTGAAGATTGAAATTGACTGTTAAAATGATTACCGAAATTGTGGACATGCTTCAGAATGTCTGCTTTTAAAGCTTCAAAACTTGAAATAAATGTACTTAAGAGGAGACCGAAAAATACATGGTTCAGGGGGGTAGCCGAGTTATCTGTAGCAGGAAAACTTAAACAATGAATAGAGTAGTAGCACCTTAAAGACTAACACAACATGTAAATGGTATCAAAGCTTTCATGGGCACAACCCACTTCTTCAGATGACTGGAGTGTTAAAAGTCCAGATCCAAGAATAAATAAGGGAAGGGGTGGGGGAAAGGAAAAAGGAGGGGGGAAAAGAAGATGAAAAGAAAGAGAGACAGACAGTAGATGATTCAAATAGTTACAAGACGCTGATAAGAACAACTAGCACCTCCATTGTTGGGTTGGTTGGTTACATCATTAGGATGTGGAAGATAGTGTGCGAACCAGCTCTTGTTCCTGTTCATATCACTTGCATAAGAATTAAACTTGCAAATTAAGTTCCAATCCTTCCCTGTATATTTGGCTTGTGGAATTGGTCTGAAACAAATGGTGACTTGGAGATCCATTAATTAATGTCCATTGGATCTGGACTTCTAATATTTCAGTCATCTGAAGAAGTGGGTTGTATCCACAAAAGCTCATGATACCATCTACATGTTTTTTTAGCCTTTAAGGTTTTTTCTAAGTCTATTTGTTGTTTTTTTTTAAGTTTTTCTGAAAAATAAATGTTTGCACATGTTGGATGGAACTGGGATAGTGTGTATTTTTTTTCTGATACATAGCTGGAAACTATGGATCACATTAAATAATGAAACTTAGTTTCTTGACATTCCAAAATAGGAGCTGCAATTGTTGTAACTATTTTTTTTTATTTTTATTTAGCTTGTTCCACACGTGGTCAATTTGGTTCACTCCTTTAAAAATGATGGCCTGCCTTCTAGTACAGCTTTCTTAGTGCAGCTGACTGAGTTGATACACTGTATGATGTATCATTATTCAGGATTTCCAGAACTCTATGAACCTATTCTGGAAGCTGTTAAGGTATGGTAATGTGGGAGTGCTTTCTTGGAGATATGAAACCTTTGATCTTACAGAGTTAAGTATTGATTGTAAAGCACTAGTCAAGATGAAAGCAATTAATCATTAGTGTATGACCTGCAGATGTGCTTGTAATGTACAGGGAAAAGTCCATTAGCATTGTGCACTAATGAATTTTTAAAGTAAAAATGGCTGTATGGTTAGTAAGATGCAAAGTTAATTAAGATACAGGAGTTAAAAATAACCTGAAGTTAACTCCTGTTTTTGAAAATCTTTGCTTATTTAATTCTATGTGTTTCAAATAATCAGCTCTCTGCTCTTGTTCTAATGTCACTGTTGAGCATCTCATTGCACGCTCATATGAAAAATATACAAAACTGGGTGCCTTAAGTTTACAATGCTGCTATGTATAGTACCTCTCTAATACAACCTCTCTCCAGCACATAGGCTATATCTACACTGCATGGCGATTTTGGGATAAGAGATATCCCAAAATAGCCACTCCTTGTCTACACAAGCTGCCTGTTAGTTTGAAATAACGGGTGTGCTATCTCGCCATCCCTGTAAACCTCATTGCACAGATGGCTTGAAATAGTGTTTTGAAATTGGGTGCTGTGTGGACGTGCCAAATTTCAAAATAAGCTATTTCTAAATAAGATATGCAAATTGTGTATCTTATTTTGAGTTAAGGGGGCTGTGTAGATGCACCCGTACAGACAGTTGCCTTTCAAAACTGAATGGACTTGGGGTTTGGCTTTTTTAAAAGTCAGCTGTCTGATGTGTGTTCTCTTTTATGGAGACTGCATCTTGCTCTTACAGGAAATAGGTATATCAAGTGGTATGTATTATTCCTAATTTGCTTTATTTGAAAGGAATCTCGGTTGAGCCTATAATTCATTAAATCCTTCCCTTTCATCTGTACAAACACTTTCCCCCCTGTGGTGAAGCTGTTTGTTTAAAATAAATGATTTATCTTTGCTGAGGGGTGGGAGTAGGAGACTGCTCTGTCTAGAGGGCTTCTTTAGTACTGTTCCCAGTTGCTAATAAGGTGTTTAAGTTGCATAGCGTTATTCAGAGCTGAGTGCCATCTCCATGCCACTCAAACTTTTCTTTACCAAAATAGTGACTTATATTTTAACAAAAGTCAAACTGGTTGTAAATCAGCAGACTGCACAAATTTCACTTACAAAATGTACAATCTCGAAAGTAGAATTTCAGCATATTTTGTTAAGATGCACTGAAAGTGCTGTAGTGGGATGAAGATGTTGGTGGATGGGGAGAAATGGGGAGATGAATGGTGAAGCATGTTTATCTGGAGGTGAAAGCGAGTAGGATCATTAAAATATGCAAGCAATGGTAACTTTGAATTCTCTGTTTTTATTGGCTGATCCATGGACCTTGGTTTAGGTTCACTTTTACTTGTTTTCTTTGAAATGCAAACTAGTACACGGCTCATAAGACTGTTTCAGGGTCATGCCTCAGTTTGTATTCCCTTCTTACCAATGTGTGTCACCATCTAATGTGAGTGGGGGTTTTTTTTTTTGGTGAGTCACACAAACATGCTGAAATCTTACATTAGATGGTGACACACATTGGTGAGTCACACAAACATGCTGAAATAGGGGGATTTTGTTTGTGTGCTGCCCAACCAGATGAAATACTATTGTTGTAATCCATTTACTCACTTGGATTACTCACAGCACAGAAAAGCCGCATTGAAATTTGCTACTGTCCTACGGAAGATATGGAAAGCTGTTAAACATGGACTCTCGAATATGGGGAATTGAGTTGAAACACTAAGTATGCTGTAAAGAAATCAGGAAAGCAAGTTTCTGGACAAGTGACTGTTAGTTGTGGGGGGAGAAGGGAAGAAGTACTTAATGCGGAGGAAAAATGTGCGTGCCAGGAGAAATGCCTTACTGGCAAGTGGGTTTCTTTGCTGAGATGAAGCAACATATGTCTCCACTTTTGACGTTAATTGTAGAGCAAGGTGTGCACATGCACAAGCCCAGTACACTGGACACTTGTCTAACACTTCAAATTTGATGTTTCTGTGGATAGGTCATGTGTTATGCTCTCTTTCCTTAACATTCTCTGTCTTCACGTATTCAGGAAATACGTGTTATATGATGTAAAATGTGTAATATAAAGTATTTAAGTGTTGGTAGAAGTGATTTTTTTTTCAAATATAATTTGTATTGACAGCTTTGCAATTAATGAAACTATGCATGGACATAGTCCTTCCTGTTTTGAGAGAGAAAACACGGTTTACACTTGAGTTGGATTGTGGGGTGTTCTTTATAGTTGGATTCATTTGAATCTGGCATTCTAAATTGGCAGAACAGGGGATGTTATGTTATGCTATTAACATGTTCCTTAAGAGACCGTTTTTGGTGGCAAAAAGATAGCAGGAACATCCAGATCAAAGTTGACCCCCAAACCTAGGGGCCTGCAGTATCATGAAAGTTGACAGAATGCTCCTTCAGGAGAAATTTATGTTGCTCGTGCCACTCAATATGATCCTTTCATGATTGGACAAACAATTGTATTGTCAGTAGTTTCAAAGGCAACTGCATGACACATCTTCTAGACTTTCGGGGGATCATAGTGAAGGGGGAACATGCAAAATGGCAAGGAAAGGGAACATATATAAGATGTTTCTGGATGAAAAGTGTTGTAAAAACAAACATATTGCCAATGGCATTTAAATATGTTTCTCTTTTATAGGAATTGCCCAAACCCAGTGAAGAGAAGATTAAGTTGATTCTCAATCAAAGTGCCTGGACTTCTCAATCCAGTTCTTTGCCATCTTGTTTGTTTAGACTTTCTGGAAAATCTGAAACTGGGAAAACAGGTCTAATTAACCTAGGAAATACGTGTTATATGAACAGTGTTATTCAAGCACTTTTTATGGCTACAGAGTAAGTGTAAACCTTGTCCTTGGTATTCCATAGGACTCTCTTAATAAACTGTATCAGTTACAAATTAATTCACACTGTATTTTGTGAAAGGCATAATTATTAAAATGGTCTTGGCTACATGTTTCCTAATAACCTTATAAGAGTTTCCTGCATTTAGTAATTATGTATGGTGTGAGCATATAGGAAAGTGTTAACATACAATTTTGCTTGGATACCATTTTGACAGTCATAATTCAATTACACGTTTGTGTATACATTTCAGAGAAGTATTAGTATCAAGTTGTAATGTATACCCCTTTTTAGTAGCAGTTTAGTCAGTACTTGTCAGTTTCCTCAGTCTCTGAAATTAGGTTTGGGCTGCAATATTACATGCAAGCTCCAGGCCCAAGAAGTCTTTTTTTTTCCCCCTTTTTCCCCTCCCCCTCCCCCCCCTACTATTAAATATTGAAACTAAAACTATTTTGTCTGATTTTAATGCTTCTGGTGTGCTCCTCTGTTCTTAAACTTTAAATAGTATGCAAGAAGTAATCTCTTGTTCTAGAGTTGTCTTCTAATTAAAAACCAAAAATACTAGAGAAGTAACCACTGTGCATATAAGTAGGCAGTATATATTTTGGCCTTCCCTGTCAAATTAATGTCATTCTCTTTGCATGAATTATACCATGTTGCTGTCATCATAAAATTTTTTTAAAGACACACATTCTTGTCTTTGTCCTTGCAGTTTCAGGAGACATGTTTTAAAAAAATTGTATGGACACACATTCTTGTCTTTGTCCTTGCAGTTTCAGGAGACATGTATTATCTTTGAATCTGAATGGGTGCAATTCACTAATGAGAAAATTACAGCATCTCTTTGCTTTTTTGGCTCATACTCAGGTATGTATTAGTCAACTTCATCTCGCTTTTTAAAACTGCCGTAATACTCAAGACGGATGAGGCTTGATGATGCAGAGGCATTATTTGCTCTAGGAGAGACTTATTTTGAAAAGTGTGGATGTGATACTAAGAGCTGGGACTAAGTGTAAAATTAATGTGGTTTCTTTGTACCCAATGCTACAACATGACAAATATTAGTTGTGTTTTCAAGGAAGTCCATATGTTTTTTTTCCCCTCTTTCGGGGCCATTTCTTTGTGCCAGTCTTCTTGAGGCAAGATGAGAGTTTTATGAAGGTGTTTCTTGAACTGTAACCCTAAAACTAGACCTCAAGTAATTTTAAACATTCAGCTGGGTAAGGTAGCTTGCATAGGTAAAATATAAGGTCTTGTGCAATACAGATTTGTGTTTTATCTTTAAATAACTTTGCAGATCAGCTTTTAAAGCAACTTTTTATTGGAGAGAAGAAAATAGCTCTATTTTTCCTGCCACTTATATAGTTTAATTTAAAAAGCACATTACTTTAGGGTATAGCAATATGAGGGTAAATAGCAAAAGAAAGGAGGACCAGGTATTTTTGTTGTGAATCATTAACAAAATGCACTATAAATGTATTAATGGTAAAAAGCTTAAAATGTCGCAAGTTGTTTAGTATAATTTGTATAAATTAGCTTACTGTTTTGTTGTTACTTCTGACAGAGGGAGGCATATGCACCTCGGATTTTCTTTGAGGCTTCCAGGCCGCCATGGTTTACTCCTAGATCCCAGCAAGACTGCTCAGAATATCTCAGGTTTCTGCTAGAGAGGTATGGTATTGATTAAGTTAACAGTAATCTGTAGGCTTGTAGGATGCTTAATTTTAATTGAGTGATCATCCAATGGTTAGAGTGCAGGACTGGGAGTCAAGATGTCTGGATTCTATTCCTGACACTGCCTCTTAAGTGATGCATATGCTGTGTGTACTCTTTATTTGTCTACTTTTTTGTGTCTCAGTGTATATATTGTTAAGCTAGATACCTACTTGCCTTATAGATATTCTGAATAGAGGTGGGTGAAATTTTTCAGACCAGTATTTTTTTTTCTTCCCCAAAAAAGTTTTGGTTGACTCAGAACTATTTGTCAATTTGGCCTAATAGTTTTGGCCCAAGGAAAGGCTTTTCAGGGCAGTAAACATATGTGTTTCCATCCATCATCCTTTAGACCACTTGCCTGTGGTGTGGAAAATTCAGGTTTGGGTCCCCATTCTGTAACAGGGATTTGATTAAGCACTAATCTGAAAGTAAGGACTTGTGGATTCATAACTTTCCTTTGAATCAAATGGAGATGAAGCCAAAGCCTGAGCAGCTTAGCTTTGTGGTGCCCCTTGTGACATGGGGCCACATAGAACTGCCTTGCTTGCTAACCCTATAATGCCAGCCCTGGCTTTCATATGCAAAACAAGTTGTTGTGACACGGGGGGGCTATGCAGTTTTTATAGCACGTTCACAGGGGCTCAGAGAAAAGGTTGAGAACCACTGTTGTAAATAATACATTCATTAGCTTTCTTAATCAGTTGTACAGGGCCAATCACTCAGAATGAATAGATGCATTCTTAATCAGTTGTACAGTGCCAATCACTCAGAATGAATAGATGCATCTTAAAATAGCATGTCTCTTTTTTTTTTTTAATTTGAACTTTGGTGACATGAGTTCATACTTTCAGATTCCAATAATCATAAACTATCTCCATATAGAGTTGAGCTGTAATAGACGAGTTGTGGTCACTTTTCTGGTGACATTGACACTTGAAATTCAAGTTAATATGTAAAATATTGACAAAATGTTGATAAATTAAGTGACCTCTCGCCTACTTCCTTGATTCTGTTGTACATTTTTTTTCATCTATATTAAGCAGTCTTAACAGCTGAATAAAATGACATTCAGAAATACGTTTGAATTTTTTTTCCAGACTGCACGAAGAAGAGAGAACCTTGAAAGCTTTGTCTTCAGCAAAGCCATCTGAGAATATGATGAATGATGAATCCTTGGCACAAGAAACTGCCAACAAGGCACAAGTGTTTACTGAGGGACCTTGCACAAGCGGTGAAGAAAGAACATTGATAGAGAAAATGTTTGGAGGGAAACTACAGACTAGTATATGCTGTTTGAACTGCAAAAGTACTTCTCAAAAGGAAGAAGCCTTCACAGATCTATCATTAGCTTTTTGTCCTCCCAGTTTCTTGGAAAATGTTGACATGAAAAGCATAACACATTCTTCTGAAGTGAAAGATGATTGCATGGTGCAAACAAGTATTGTAGCATCTAGTCCTGTTGAAGAATTAGCACTTGATAATTCTCTTGCAGTAAATGATGGCTGTGAAACAGTTATCAATGAAGGAATTCTAAATAATATTACAGATACTGATCTGTACCAAGTTCAGGATAGTAAGAACATGTCTCAGAAATCAGTAAGTGAAAATACTCCCTCAGTTACTGACTTGCTGAATTATTTTCTGGCACCTGAGATTCTAAATGGAGACAACAAATATTATTGTGAAAAATGTGCCTCTCTACAGAACGCAGAGAAAATTATGCATATCATGGAGGAACCTGAATACCTCATTCTCACTCTCCTCAGATTTTCATATGATCCAAAGTGTCATATAAGGCGCAAAATCCTGGACAATGTGTCTCTACCACTTATTTTGGAATTACCAGTCAAAAGAACTGCACCCTCTTTAGGCGTGGTATCAAGGGGCTGGTCTGTGGATATTGAATTCTCTGACACTGGAGAAAATCTTGCTAAAAAACTGAAGCCCTCACGGGCTGAAGAAGTATGCTGCCCTGAATTGGTACCCTATGTTTTAAGTTCTGTTGTGGTGCACTCTGGTGTATCTTCTGAAAGTGGGCATTATTATTCTTATGCCAGAAATATCACTGGTTCAGGGCCCTCCTTAGGACTGTGCCATCAATCAAAAACTATGGCTTTAGCTTCCCACAGCAGTTTTTTGGCAGGGGAGCTTTCTCATGCAGTTTTAGAAAATGACATGGGTGCTAATGAGATGTCAAAAGAGTGGTTTCTATTTAATGACAGCAGAGTGACATTTACCTCATTTCAGTCTGTCCAGAAAATTACTAGTAGGTTTCCAAAGGACACTGCTTATGTGCTGCTATACAAAAAACAGAGTAGTAGTAGTGGTTTCAATGCCAATTCAGCAAATGGACTCTGGGTGAATGGAGATCCTCCTCTGCAGAAAGAGCTTATGGATGCTATTACAAAAGATAATAAACTGTATTTACAGGTAAGATGAAAACCTCACTAATGTGATGAGTGACAGTCTCCTGAACTGGCAAATGTGATCGAGTTATTCACTATTTCTGAAGTAGTCAGTTCTTAACATTCTGAGGGTTAATCATAAAATCCTACAGCTCATAAATGTTGCTACGCTTGTGCTAATAGTTGATGGAATAAATAGTAATGTTTTAATCAAATTTACCAGTAGATAGCATCATGTGCAATATGTTTATAGGACCATGGTGTCCAACACACTAGCTACATATGGCTATTTGGCTGGTTGAGTTGACTTGAATATTGTTGCTAGTTTGCTATAGCTGTAGCCACTATAGTGGTTGGACACCACAGTTATACAAGAACTCACATCTTTTAATGTATTTCTGTATTTGTAGGACAGAGGTTCTCAAACTGTCCTTAGGCCACTGGTAATCCATCCAAGATTGGATGATCAAACTGTGTGTGTGTGTATGTGTGTGTGTGTTGCTACCTGCTGAATAGCATTAAAATAAGCTAAATATATATTACATAGAAAGTTGGGGAAATATCCATTTTGCCTCTCTATAGACTAGCAATTTTTTACTATAAATTACACATACAGGTATTACACCATAGGATTTTTAGCACCTGCTGTAGTAATTAAGCTATGAACATGAATGAAACTGATTAGTTCTGTTGTAGTTGCTCTAAATATCATTTCCTGAGATTGTTGATTCTTTCTTGAAACTCTTTTATACTGTGCATTGGAAATTGGCACGCTGTTCAGAGGTTCCAGTTTGATATAGGAATCTCCCTATACAGAATTTGTTTCATGGGTCCTGCAGAAGATCAGTGTGCTGCTGCTGCTGCTGCCCCCCATAGTGCTTCCCAAGAAATACTTCCGTGAAAAAGACACTGCTCTGTTAATGGCGCACTAATGGAACATTCATGGTAAAGGCACAGTTTTACAGTCACTGGCATAGAATGTCAAACCACTAATTTCTCTCTTCCTTTTTATCCCCTCTCCATTCACTGCTATGGCGGGAAGGTTGGAAAATGAGCTGTACAGTATTATGGATGAAATTTTTTTAAGTCAGTTTTTGACGGCTCTTGTGACTAACTTGCCTTGTACTAATAGATTTAAAATTAATATGACACTTGGCATAGTGTTAAACTGCTTGTGCAAGTGTGTTAAGATAAGATGCTGGGGTGTGTGTGTGTGTGTGTGTGTGTGTGTGTGTGTGATCTTGTCCTGTTTGAAGCAACTTAACTATGTCAAACAAATTGTATAGAATCTTCTACACTAGGACAATGGAACATTTATTCGTGCTTCAGTTGGCTGCAATGTTGTAAAATATATAATGAACTTTTAAAGTAAAGATTTAAAACACAATACATTATTCAGTTCGGAGCACGTGACTAGGTTCAAGTTTTGCAACCTCAATTAGACGTACATCTCTCATGAAGAGAAATTCCAGTTGTTAATAGTAAAAGGCTCTAGAAATAGCTTTTTACAACCATTCCTTTCTTATCTCTCAATAACACTTTAGCTAGAGTTTGGTATTTAATGTGTTCTTAACTTTGGATTCCATTCTTGTTCTGTGACAGGAGATGAATTTGTTGTCACTCAGACATAGCCTGTGTAAACTCTACCTGTTGTTCAGTGTCAGTTTTAAAATTCCAAAAGCAAAATAAATCTGAATTAAGTAGGTCATTCAGTCCAGATTTAATAATTGAGGGGGAGAGGTAAATAGCTTCAAATTTAGAGCTGCATTTTTTGTGAGTCTAAGTTGCTCTTACTGCCAATCAGTCTTTAGCATCACAGAAAGTACCTATCCCAGGACCAGTGTAACACTCGTATGATAGCAATTATGTAACACAAGATCAGAGGTTTCATGCTCATTGGCTCTGTCCCATGTTCTTATGCCAGTGGTCTCCAATCTTTTTAAGCACAAGATCACTTTTTGAATTTGTCAGTCCAGAATCTACCTCAAACCCCAAATACCCCTGCCCTGCCCCTTCTCCAAGGCCCTGCTCCTGCCCTACCTCTGTGCTTGAGGCCCTGTCCTCACTCTGGGTAGGTCTAGACTACATGCCTCTGTCGCCAGAGGCATGTAGATTAGGCTACCAGACAGGAAAATAATCGCCGCTTCATTTAAATTTACATGGCTGCCACGCTGAGCCGACAAACAGCTGATCAGCTCAGCGCGATAGTCTGGACGCACGGGTGTCGACATCCAAGGTATTTGTCGACCACCCAGGTAAACCTCGGTATCTGCATGAGACTTGAAATCTACTACATATTTGAGAGAGCTTTAAAAAATTACAAATAGTCCTGCAGCACTTTAGAGACTCTTATGATACCATCTACATTTTTTGTTAGTCTCTAAGGTGCTACAAGACTATTTGCTGTGTTTTGTGTTTTTTTTGTTTAAGTTTTTTCCTTTACAGACTAACACTGCTACTCCTCTGAAACTTTTGTACATAATTGAGAGATTTTGCCTGTCTATTGAAAAACTTCATAAAACTAGAACCCCCAAATTCAGCATAAAGCTACTTTTTTATCATAATTTAAAGCAGGGGTGGGGAACCTGGGGCTTGAGGCTCTCACCTCCCCATTGGGAGTCAATGATAGTGCTCTTCTCCCCCCCCCCACTGTTCTCTCTAGCCCCCCATGGGGTGGAGCACACAATCTGCTAATCTGAGCCCAACTGACTTTTCTGACCCCAAAAATATTCTCTGTCCATGATCTAAAGCAAGGTGTAGGGGTTGGGTTGTGCTATGAAAATAGAATGTGCCTAGAACGAGTGCTTCTCAAAACCCTACATGATCACATGGCAGGTGAAAGGGGCTGGTAGGGATGCCACCATCTCCTCTTCCACCCCATGACTGCCCAAGCCTTCCACCACCCACCTCCCCGCAGGGATCCTTTAGTGAGGGGAAGGTGAAGCTTTGCTTCCCCCGCATGTCCCCCGCCCCTCCCCCTCAAATTGTACAGGGACATTGCTAGCTGTTCCTTCATCAAGGAGCAAGGGGAAAGTGCAGTTTGCTGCATTCCTCATAGCTAGGACCTGCCCCAGCTGGGGGATATGCACTCTTCCCCCAGCTGTGCCCTCTGGAGCTGCAGCAGCCATGGAGAGGTGCTTCTCACCAGGCCCCAAGCTGCTGCAATGAGAAGGCAAAGGTAGCTCTGTGTCTGGAGTAGTCTGTGTACTGAACCCCTCAACCTCTTGCTTCACCTAAGACCAATGATTTAAATGAAGAAAAACAAGTTAATTTTAAATTAAGGACCTGAGCAATGCCAGGTAAATCTAGTATTATAGACAGCTACTATGCAACACCTCTAATAAAAACTTGGGTAAACCATATGAACAGACACCTAATACTTCATCTGTTTTTTGTTTTTGTGTTTTTTCTTTTGTCCCTGTGCGATTCCAATATCCTGCAATAGTTGAGCTTCGGTTGTCAGCTGCAGCTTAAACAAATGGGTTTCATTTAGCTTTTGAAGTAGTTAAGCGTCGGTTGTCAGCTGCAGATTAAACAAATGGGTTTCATTTAGCTTTTGAACATGAGGTTCTGTAAGAAGATAAGGTCTGTACTGTCCTCCTAAATTCAATCTCACCAGTATTTATCAGAACTTCAGTCGTGTTTATTAGTTAGTTGGGGCCAGATTCTGATACTCTTGCTCACTGTAATACTTTGCTTTCTGGAATTGGTCCTGGGTACTAGCCCACTGCAAGTTGAAAACAAAAAAAGTAAAACTATTTATAGAGATTCAGTTGCATAGTGTAACTTTATTTTTACTTTTCCTAGTTTTTGTGATCTACCTAGTTTTTAAAAAAGCTATTTCAGTAAGAACTAGTTTATATGAAAAGTTTGACTTTACAAGTTAACTGTCTCTGTTCTTTAATTTCAGGAACAAGAACTTAGTGCTCGGACACAAGCACTACAAGCAGCCTCTGCCACATGTTCTTTTCGACCCAATGGATTTGATGACAATGATCCCCCAGGAAGCTGTGGACCGACCGGTGGTGGGGGTGGGGGAGGATTCAGTACTGTTGGTAGACTAGTGTTTTGAGGAAGATCTGCACTGGTTCCAAAACCGCTCCCACTACTGTGTAGGACTATAAACCACTGAACTGCTTAAAATATACCAAGCTTTTGTTTTTGAGACCTGATCCTTATTCAGTTAACTGTTAATTTTTTTTTGGTTTTGTTTGGTTTTATCTGAAATAAGTCCATCATGGGAAAAAACTACCTCTTAAATCCAGTTGTTTTACTAGCAAGATGTGTTTGGCCAAAAGAGAGAGAATTAAAAAATGACTTGTATGTGATCCCTAATGATGCTGCATAAAATCTAATTAATGCAGTTAAATCAGTTTACACCATCCCAATTCACTGAATAAAGGAAGAGTTCATTCATATTCTTGTAAAAGACATATGGAATGAATTCAGGTGGGCATAATTGCATACTTTTTTCCTTCAAGTCTGAAAATCCTTAATGGTAGCAGAGATGATGCACCCTTATAATGAAGGCAATAACTGAAATTGTAAAACATGACCTGCTATAGTACTTTCCAGGATAACAGTTATTCAGATTCAGTATGTTTGCATTTTGAGTACAAATGTAAAAAGTCATTTATACACATTTGCTAAATCATTTTCAAGAAATGTGCATGGTCTTGTAGGAACCAAGTTTTTAACTAGAAATTGCTAAATTTGTAGTATTTCTAATTGTTTTGCGGATTTTTAAATTATTGCAGGAAGTATATCTGCTCTGTATTTGAAAGGAGGAGGTTGTGTATGTGCCTTGCAGTACTGTAACTTAAATACAAAACTTTCTGAGGCTGTAAAAGGGTTAAAGAACAATGTTAGAAATTGTTGTTAATATTAGAAATTAATACATTTTGGAAAGTTATTAAATTTTCCAGAAGTAAAATCTGATGGTTCTAAAATTCTCCTGTTGTCATTATTTACAGTTCAGTAGGGGCATTTTTTTATTTGCAACTTCTCTGGCCTGCATTAAGAAACTGATCACAAACACTGATCCATAGTTGCAAAGCTCTAAATGTTTTGTTCAAAAAACAGCTGAGCTGATGCCTACCAAGTTGGGTTAAGGATTGTCTTGACTTCCCAGCATCGAGATTGCTGGACAAGTGTGCTGACTCTAAAAGAAAACAATCAGAACTTTATGCCGTGGAAGACTATCACTAGTGGTGATGCCTATGCGCTGTCCCTCTTAGGCACTTTGAGCCTCTCCAAGGAACATGTGAAGACCCTTTCCTTATTCCAATGACGTACTGACTGCTTGGCTGTGCTGAGCCATGTGGTAATCTCAAGTCTTATGGCCCCATCTTTTTAGTGATTTTGAAACCAAAAGATTGATTACATGGCCACAAGGGACCATTGTTTTTATCTACTCAGACCTTGTATATCGTACAGGAGATAGAACTTTCCAGAAAGAGACCCTGAGCAGTTAATCTTCATCAATACAGAGATGTTCCAAAAGTCATCTCCTGGGTAAGTCTTCCAGCTTTCTGAAAAGACGGATATAGATTAAGATGTTCAGGAATGATCACTGCCACCTTTTTATTGACAATCTGTGAGGTATTTTGTACTGCACCTAAAATGTTCTTGGCATCTTCTAGTCAACCAAGAATTTTCCCTTTTAATTCCCCCTTCCCTTGTGCTTCTATCTAAAAGAAGATTGGACTTAGGCAAGATATCTGTGTCTGGAGACAGAAGCAGAGTAATCAGTTCTCTTGTGGATCATGCTAGCAGGGTGCCTCTGGGTTCACTGCTGTTTAAAGAGAAGTTGATTAAAAGGGTTTTTGTTCTAATACTGGAACCTGTCGCAATTCAGAAATCTTTTTAAATGAAGACTACTGTATTGGTGCCTTAGGCCCAGATCCCCAAAAGCATGTGCTCTCCCATTTTGCATTGATATCAGTGGAAGGTAGAAGCCTAACTACCTTTTTGGATCTCTGCCTTTAACATCTATCCTGATTATTTGGAGGTAATGTGTAAATCTAATCTAAATTCAGGTGGTAGAAAGTGCAGTAGGATCCATTTAACTAATATCTCACCATGGCTTAATTAGCGGGGCCATCTTGGTTCCCTTGCAAGAGACGACTCTTGCAGAGTTTTGAATTAGCAGATAGTTCAATGGATTTGCTGAATCTAGCACATGGATTCAGCAGCAGCCAAAGCCCTGAATCCCTTTCAATTGCTGCTGGAGCAGTGCTTCACACATCTCTGAGGACTGGAGCAAAGGGGTACAGCATGCCTGCCTGGCTGCCACTGGAGGCCTACTGCCCCACCTACATCTTGCCCCAGGTCTGCAGTGGCTGTTGGTCCCATTGTTTAGCCTAGACTCTCATACTTCCTGTGAGTCAACCGCTATAGCAGTCTCTCCACATATCTCTATACCTCCACTGTTGCTGCACACCCTTCTTGCATTGTAGAGCAGATATGTCTAATGGGTTCCTGTCCCCTGGATCATGGTGTTAAACCTTGGAAAAATAAACCTAGCCTGGCTGGAGCCAGGCAGATGAGTCTTTCCCATCTCTATTGTTCTGCTGAGAATTCTTGGTTTTCTTTTTGGAGGTGTCTTATCTCTATTGTTTAATATCTGTTTTTATAGTCCTGTTAAGCACCTTTCACTTAACCTCATGATGTTATACAGAATCTCAAGAAGGTAAATGGATATAATATTCACAAATACAGAAAACACATGTTTTCCAAAGAATGTGAATGATTAAACAGTAATTTCACTTGGGATTTGGTTGAGTTTTGGCAATAGGCTTTCTACAGATTAAATGACTGGTTCACTTTGCCTCTGACATTTCTCATATTTAAAATCCAGTTACCTTCACAAAATGGATTGAACATCTACACCCAACATTGGTTCTCCTTTCCAGTTTTAATTTGTTTTACAGTTGTATTTATCTGGTGAATATTTTGAGATGGCTTTTCTCTCTACCAGTGGTGTGTGGAAAAGCTTACACACACACACAGGAAATTCCCTGCCTTTGGGATTGGCTGACTAAATGTCAGGCAATCTAATGCACAAAGTAAACAAGAGTAATGTTTTTTTCTCTGGATGTTTATCGTGATCTTGGATTATTCAAAACACTTTAGGTTAAAAAAAATTGAAGACCTGTTTTTAAAATGTCTGTTTAAATATGAAACTGTGGGAAGGACCAGTTATGTTTTGTTCTGTAAAAATATAAATCTTGTTGACGTCCTAAAAATAATTTGGATGTCTGTATAAAGCTGCTCTACAATGTTTTCTGTGGCTTTTTTTTAAAGGCTTACAAATTCTGCTCATACTCAATTGGATGCCAAAATCTTGAAGTTTTAAACAACATAAGACATTCAGAATGAATCTGGTTAAGTATAAAATGAAGTAACACCTCATGTTGAGTAAGATTGAATTACGTGTCCTTGGCTACCTTCTTGTTAACCTAGGATGAGATTATTTTCTTTAAACTACTTAAGCCCAAAATTTCAAGTTAATATTTGAGTATATAGAATAAAACTAAAGCATATAGAATAAAACTTTTTTTTTTGAGTGAAGAATCTAACTTTGTCAAAATGAGTGAAATGATGGTAACATTACTGTCTGCTACAATATCCTAGATCTGTCTTGTGGAGCAGTATACCTAAAGTACTTTTTCCTTCCATGAATAAATATTCTGAGTTTATTTCACAAGGCTGTAGAAATTAGTGCTTATTTCTGTTTTCTAAAGTTAAACCTATAGAAAATATCTGACATTTTTTCCTGAGGCCTGCAGCCCATTTATTTGAATCGGTGCTGTATGCATAGTTCCACTAACTCTTTAAGATTAGTCTTCACTTCTTTGAGTGGCCCCATGGATGCTCCACTCGAAGTGTCCATCCCGGCGCCACTGGTCAGAAGATTTCAGAGCCATATCTGGCTGGACCGCACATGCTCCTGTGCTGCAGGGCATTCGCGTCCATTCTAAGGTGCACGGTTCGGCAAAAAAGAAAAGAGCCTCTCCTGCCTGCTCCCTGCCCGTGCTTCCCCTGCCTCCCATAAGTCAGGGAGACAGACAGGGCACATTGGAGAACAGCCGGCCGAGGATGTGCTCTCCCATTTTGCATTGATATCAGTGGAAGGTAGAAGCCTAACTACCTTTTTGGATCTCTGCCTTTAACATCTATCCTGATTATTTGGAGGTAATGTGTAAATCTAATCTAAATTCAGGTGGTAGAAAGTGCAGTAGGATCCATTTAACTAATATCTCACCATGGCTTAATTAGCGGGGCCATCTTGGTTCCCTTGCAAGAGACGACTCTTGCAGAGTTTTGAATTAGCAGATAGTTCAATGGATTTGCTGAATCTAGCACATGGATTCAGCAGCAGCCAAAGCCCTGAACCCCTTTCGATTGCTGCTGGAGCAGTGCTTCACACCTCTGAGGACTGGAGCAAAGGGGTACAGCATGCCTGCCTGGCTGCCACTGGAGGCCTACTGCCCCACCTACATCTTGCCCCAGGTCTGCAGTGGCTGTTGGTCCCATTGTTTAGCCTAGACTCTCATACTTCCTGTGAGTCAACCGCTATAGCAGTCTCTCCACATATCTCTATACCTCCACTGTTGCTGCACACCCTTCTTGCATTGTAGAGCAGGTATGTCTAATGGGTTCCTGTCCCCTGGATCATGGTGTTAAACCTTGGAAAAATAAACCTAGCCTGGCTGGAGCCAGGCAGATGAGTCTTTCCCATCTCTATTGTTCTGCTGAGAATTCTTGGTTTTCTTTTTGGAGGTGTCTTATCTCTATTGTTTAATATCTGTTTTTATAGTCCTGTTAAGCACCTTTCACTTAACCTCATGATGTTATACAGAATCTCAAGAAGGTAAATGGATATAATATTCACAAATACAGAAAACACATGTTTTCCAAAGAATGTGAATGATTAAACAGTAATTTCACTTGGGATTTGGTTGAGTTTTGGCAATAGGCTTTCTACAGATTAAATGACTGGTTCACTTTGCCTCTGACATTTCTCATATTTAAAATCCAGTTACCTTCACAAAATGGATTGAAAATCTACACCCAACATTGGTTCTCCTTTCCAGTTTTAATTTGTTTTACAGTTGTATTTATCTGGTGAATATTTTGAGATGGCTTTTCTCTCTACCAGTGGTGTGTGGAAAAGCTTACACACACACACAGGAAATTCCCTGCCTTATGGATTGGCTGACTAAATGTCAGGCAATCTAATGCACAAAGTAAACAAGAGTAATGTTTTTTTCTCTGGATGTTTATCGTGATCTTGGATTATTCAAAACACTTTAGGTTAAAAAAAAATTGAAGACCTGTTTTTAAAATGTCTGTTTAAATATGAAACTGTGGGAAGGACCAGTTATGTTTTGTTCTGTAAAAATATAAATCTTGTTGACGTCCTAAAAATAATTTGGATGTCTGTATAAAGCTGCTCTACAATGTTTTCTGTGGCTTTTTTTTAAAGGCTTACAAATTCTGCTCATTTTAAGCTGCTCTACAATGTTTTCTGTGTGTGTGTTTTTTTTTTTAAAGGCTTACAAATTCTGCTCATACTCAATTGGATGCCAAAATCTTGAAGTTTTAAACAACATAAGACATTCAGAATGAATCTGGTTAAGTATAAAATGAAGTAACACCTCATGTTGAGTAAGATTGAATTACGTGTCCTTGGCTATCTTCTTGTTAACCTACGATGAGATTATTTTCTTTAAACTACTTAAGCCCAAAATTTCAAGTTAATATTTGAGTATATAGAATAAAACTTTTTTTTTGAGTGAAGAATCTAACTTTGTCAAAATGAGTGAAATGATGGTAACATTACTGTCTGCTACAATATCCTAGATCTGTCTTGTGGAGCAGTATACCTAAAGTACTTTTTCCTTCCATGAATAAATATTCTGATAGTTTATTTCACAAGGCTGTAGAAATTAGTGCTTATTTCTGTTTTCTATAGAAAATATCTGACATTTTTTCCTGAGGCCTGCAGCCCATTTGTCTGAATCGGTGCTGTATGTATAGTTACACTAACTCTTTAAGATTAGTCTTCACTTCTTATTTGAATCGGTGCTGTATGCATAGTTCCACTAACTCTTTAAGATTAGTCTTCACTTCTTTGAGTGGCCCCATGGATGCTCCACTCGAAGTGTCCATCCCGGCGCCACTGGTCAGAAGATTTCAGAGCCATATCTGGCTGGACCGCACATGCTCCTGTGCTGCAGGGCATTCGCGTCCATTCTAAGGTGCACGGTTCGGCAAAAAAGAAAAGAGCCTCTCCTGCCTGCTCCCTGCCCGTGCTTCCCCTGCCTCCCATAAGTCAGGGAGACAGACAGGGCACATTGGAGAACAGCCGGCCGAGGGATAGGTCAATTCCATGGCCGGTGCCAGGATCATCTAAATCTCGCACAGCATCCACTCCACCGCCGGCCTCCCCTCCTCATACAGAGCACAAGCAAGCTATGGCCCCATCGGGGGATAAGCGACCCCCTTCACAATTGCCACCAACGATGCTGCCGGAGCAGGTGTCATCCCCA